TGTGCGTACATAAGTATATACAAATGTGTATATTCACCTAGACGACCACCCTTCGGGTGATGAGGAGGTTGGTGGGGGGAGAAAGAACCAACTGCCGACAGCTGCGATGGCGGTGATGGTGACGATGCTGGTGATGCGCTCTCGAGTTGGCGACGACGCGTGGTGACGATGCTGCGTCGCAATGCGGTCCCACTATCGATCCCACTCGATCGACCTCACCATCGAGACACCACCAGGGCATCAGGAGGCCGAATAAATGCCACCACTACTGTGCTGTGATGGTTGGTGCTAAGTGTGATGGCTCGCTGCTGATGGCAAGGTGATGGCCGCAGTGGTGATGAGGGTGGCGTCGACAGCAACGGCGGTAGTGCTGAATACGATCGGAACACCATCGATCTCACCACCGATCTCACCATCGACCTCACAATCGGTCTCACGATCGATCCCAACAGGACACCGACAGGACACACGTGGGACACCGACGGGGCACCACGGGACACCATCGGGGCACCAATCGACCTCAGTTTCGATCTCATCATCGGTCTTACTATGGATGTCACTCGCCCGATCCCACTAACGATCTCACTATCGGTCTCACGATCGATCTCACGATCGACTTCACCGACGGGACACCGACGGGACACCGCCAGGACACCGACGGGACACCGACGGGACACCGACGGGATAGCGACGGGACTCCGACGGGACAGCCATGGAACACCAAGGGGACACCGACTGGATACCGACGGGACACCGACGGAACACCACAGTGGGACAACCCAGCCACCGCCCGCCCACCGGGGAGGGAGGAGGGGCGGTCAACGGGTCTTGACCCGCCCTAGCCACTGCGGAGTTACAGTATTCCTCTTGCCCGCCCACGCAGCTTCGCTTCGCCCGCACGCACGACACGAACCCGAAACCGAAACCGACTTCCCGGTGTGGGGGGCTCTCCGTTCCACTTCGATCTCACCACCCCTCATATGTTTATATATACATATTCCTCTTCCTATATTTTTACAAGCCTGGGGGGGGGGAAACCATCCCCCCAAAAAACTGGACCCCCGGGATCTGGGGTTCTGGGGCTCCCTTGGACGTCCTTGGAAAAGGTCACCCGGCTTCCCGGGTCTCCACAAACGCCTTGCCAGCAGACCCAGAGCGATCCGAGGGGTCATCAGAAAGGCTCAAGGGAGGCCCCAGACAGCACAAGAGCGCTCCAAGAGGGACTCCAATTGAGTCAGGACGGCCCAAAAGACCCCCAAGGCACCCCAAAAAGCTTTCCAAGGGGCCTTCAAAGCACAAAAATCGCCCCATTCCCTCCGTAAAACTTACAATGTTTAGCATATTCGCCTTTCGGATTTCATCAGCTTTCAAGACGGTTTCAAAGCCCCCGAGATCGCCTCCAGACGCCCCAAAAGGCCCCCAAGAAAGCTTCAAGACGGCCGAGCCGGGCCCCACGATCGCCCACGAGAGCCCCAAGACAGCCCATAATGGAACCAAGAGGCCCCCCAAGGGCTCCCAGCACAGACCCAAAAGGGCCATGGGAGGTCCCCGGAAGTGCCCAAGATGGGTCCAAAGGGGGCTCCAGCGGGCCCAAGCTCCCCAAGACGGCCCAAGAAGGCCCCAGGATGGCCCATGAAGGCGCCAAAACGGCCCACGAGGGCCCCGAAAACACCCCCACGATGTTTCCGAATGCCAACATCAAGACCCCCAAGGCACCCCAAAAAGCTTTCCAAGGGGCCTTCAAAGCACAAAAATCGTCCCATTCCTTTCGTAAAACCTACAATTTTAGCATATTCGCCTTTCGGATTTCATCAGCTTTCAAGACTGTTTCAAAGCCCCCGAGATCGCCTCAAGACGCCCCAAAAGGCCCCTTAGAAAGCTTCAAGACGGCCGAGCCGGGCCCCACGATCGCCCACGAGAGCCCCAAGACAGCCCATAATGGAACCAAGAGGCCCCCCAAGGGCTCCCAGCACAGACCCAAAAGGGCCATGGGAGGTCCCCGGAAGTGCCCAAGATGGGTCCAAAGGGGGCTCCAGCGGGCCCAAGCTCCCCAAGACGGCCCAAGAAGGCCCCAGGACGGCCCATGAAGGCGCCAAAACGGCCCACGAGGGCCCCGAAAACACCCCCACGATGTTTCCGAATGCCAACATAAAGACCCCCAAGGCACCCCAAAAAGCTTTCCAAGGGGCCTTCAAAGCACAAAAATCGTCCCATTCCCTTCGTAAAACTTACAATTTTAGCATATTCGCCTTTCGGATTTCATCAGCTTTCAAGACGGTTTCAAAGCCCCCGAGATCGCCTCAAGACGCCCAAAAGGCCCCCTAGAAAGCTTCAAGACGGCCGAGCCGGGCCCCACGATCGCCCACGAGAGCCCCAAGACAGCCCATAATGGAACCAAGAGGCCCCCCAAGGGCTCCCAGCACAGACCCAAAAGGGCCATGGGAGGTCCCCGGAAGTGCCCAAGATGGGTCCAAAGGGGGCTCCAGCGGGCCCAAGCTCC